AGGACACGATTCAAAAATAATTCGGAGGTAATTCAAAGGCCACATGACAAGATTCGAAGGCAATTCGGAAGCCACGTGATACGATTCGAAGGCAATTCGGAGGCCACGTGATACGATTCGAAGGCAATTCGAAGGCCAGAGGACACGATTCAAAGATAATTCGGAGGTAATTCAAAGGCCACAAGACAAGATTCGAAGGCAATTCGGAGGGCACGTGACACGATTCGAAGGCAATTCGGAGGCCACGTGATGCGATTCGAAGGCAATTCGAAGGCCAGAGGACACGATTCAAAGATAATTCGGAGGTAATTCAAAGGCCACAAGACAAGATTCGAAGGCAATTCGGAGGGCACGTGACACGATTCGAAGGCAATTCGGAGGGCACGTGACACGATTCGAAGGCAATTCGGAGGCCACGTGATACGATTCGAAGGCAATTCGAAGGCCAGAGGACACGATTCAAAGATAATTCGGAGGTACTTCAAAGGCCAAAGAAAAGCTTCGATGGCAATTCGAAGACCACATGCCACGATTCGAAGACAATTTGAAGACCTCGTGACACGATTCGAAGGAAATTCGAAGGCCACAGAAAACGATTCAAAGATAATTCGGAGGTAATTCAAAGGCCAAATGAAAAGATTCGAAGGCAATTCGGAGGCCACGTGACGAGCGAGGCGAAACGAGGCCAGCGACGCGCCGTATCCTATCGAGTTTTCGTATCACAGTCGAAAGAGGATCGTCTGTGTCGTCGGGTTAACGACGCAGCCGTCTACGTCGTTGTCGTCGCCGTTGTTGTTGTTGTTGTTGCCCGACGTCGACGTCGACGATCGCTCCGCCGCCGACCCATGGGAGATCCATCCGACGGCAGACTGTGTTTTTCTTCGGCGCCCGCTCGGGGAACGCAAATCATCGGCCGCACGGCCGGAACCGGTTTTTATGCCGGCGTATTTCGACGCGATTTCATTAAAATCCGTCGAATGTTTGTTCAAGCACGAAAAGATAATTGGACCCGAACACCGGCCCGGTTCCCGTTTATTCTCCAGTGCCGCCCGCGGATCCCCGGGCGCTGTGTGCTTAATACATCTGTAACTTGATGAAGCGCCGCCGCCGCCGCCGTCGAACGCTACGGAAAAAAACTGACTCGCCCGAATTCTATTAATTATAGAATGCACTCGCGGCCCATCCCGAAGCCTTTTTAACTTCATTAAATTCGCCGTCGAACGGCCCCGTTTATCGACTGGAAAACGGTGCCCGTTCCCGGGTACTTTTTTCACGCAGATTTTATATAATTAACGTCACGGCGGCGCTTCAAAGGCGCCGTCCCGTTGCCGTTCGGTTGCGACCGATTAATTTAAATTAGCAACCGTTCCGATTTCATTTGAATTTCACCGCGATACCGACTCCACGGATTCGTCGTGCCCGAGTGTTTAATCTGATTTTTTGATGTTCGCTTCTTGAGAACGTCTTTGGCACGATAAGAAGAATTAGATGAGATCGTCGTTTCTCGTTTTTTTGGTGCTCGATGCTTCGATTTTGGGCCTCGTCACTTTCTCGCGATAATTTGACAATATTTTATAGCGTTTATGGGCGTGTATTATTCTGATATTTTCTGGAAAATTGATCTCTACTTTGTGGTATTTATGTTTTTAATACGAAGCAATAGTTCATCAGGCATTTTGTATTCTACGCGAAAGATGTGAAACGAGCATCGTGTAAATATGTTTCCCTTTATTTTCAATAAAATATTTAATCAAGTAGATTACTTGCCTCTCATTATATTGATTGATACTATTTTCCGGAAAATTGGTCTCAATTCTTGGTGATCTCAATGGCATTTATGTTTTCAACATGAAGCAATAGTTCATCAGGCATTTTTTGTTCTACGCGAAAGGTATGAAAAGAGCATCGTGTAAATATGATTCCCTTTATTTTCAATAAAATATTTAACAACATAATCTGTGCACAGCATTTGTCAGGCGGGCCCGATATCCAAGACTCGAAGAATGAAAGTTCAGCTACCGGCAAGCGAAGCTACCGCATCCGCGGCAACCCTTTTGATATCGGAATAATTTCTATGTGTCCGCTATCACCTGCGTATTCTCTCGGAATACAAAAGAGTCCCCCCCCTCCCCCGGTAGCCGGTTACATTCAGAAAAATCCCCGCGTTATTCCGGGAATGGGTGAAGTTTCGCTCCCGACCCTAAGTCCTCTTATCGCCGAGGTGTATCCGAAAAAACAGACGGCCCGTTCCCATTTTTATTCAAGCTGGAGAACCCCTGGCACGTAAGTACGTAAGTCCCCCGGTCTCTACGCAGAATCAAAACGGTGATTGGCCGGGTCGAGTGGAAGGTTAACACTTTCTGCAGAATAATTACACTCGAAACCATAGGATACAGAGCCTGTAGTAGTAGTAGACGGTGAACGGGTATGTTAATCCGCGGGGTGGCCCGGCTGGCTCTTACCGAGCTGCCGGCAACTTCATGCGAGCCCTACAAAGTTTTTAAGCTTTTGACACTACTCCGGCTTTTCTCTTAATTGCCTAGACTCGTACCGAAGAACCGCGTATGTGTTACGTGTTCCAAGAACGGTGCTGAGCGGAGCCGAGCGCTCGTTCCGCGGCAGAATCGCGGCTGTTCTTCGAAGGCAAGAGAAGCGTTCGCGAACACTTCGGAGTTCGATTGTTCGAATGTTAGATCGAACATTTCGCCGCAGTTGATACAGTAATTTCCACGAGAAATGTGTGGAGGCGAAATCGAAACGCGCAGATCCGAGAATACCGAGTCGCGCTAAGAAGCGATTTTTTCGTAAAAACTCGGGGCAATCGACGAGAAACGGCAGCGGTCAGCGTGAATACGTTAACACGAATGCATAGTAATGCTGGAAAAACCTTAACTTTTGACCTTGATAACCTTAATCAATAATCTTGACTGATCTTTAAGTAATTATCTCTGTGTCGAAGGCAATTCGGAGGGCGTTCATGTGCACTTATGGAGGGCACATAACAAGAATTCGGAGGCTACGTGACACGATTCGACGGCAATTCGGAGGCCACGTGACACTATTCGAAGGCAATTCGAAGGCCATAGGACACGATTCAAAGATAATTCGGAGGTAATTCAAAGGCCACATGACAAGATTCGAAGGCAATTCGGAGGCCACGTGACACAATTCGAAGGCACTTCGGAGGCCACGTGACACGATTCGAAGGCAATTCGAAGGTAGTTCAAAGGCTACATGCCACAATTCAAAGCCAATTCAATGGCCGCATGCGACGATTCAAAGGCAATTTGAAGATCACGTGACACGATTCGAAGGAAATTCGGAGGCCACGTGGCACGATTCGAAGGCAATTCGGAGGCCACGTGCCACTATTTGAAGGAAATTTGAAGACCATGTGATGCGATTCGAAGGGAATTCGAAGGCCGCAGGACACGATTCAAAGATAATTCGGAGGTAATTCAAAGGCCACATGCCACGATTCAAAGGCAATTCAATGGCCACATGCGACGATTCGAAGGCAATTCGAAGACCACGTGTCATTATTCGAAGACAATTCTGATGCTACATGCCACTATTCGAAGGCAATTCTCGGCCACATAATTCCGTCGATCCTTATCATCCGCGTATCGATAAATTGCACAGGCGTAGCACTAGCCCGGGGAAATCCACAGCATCCCGAAATTCGGCATTTCCGCGGAGAAATTACCGTACATCGCGACCCGTAAAAGTTTCGGACCTGTCAACTCGAGTTCCGGGAACGATATCTAGAACACGTTCTGCGAACGACGTGGCTAAATATTGAATGAAGGTACGGGAAGATACCCTCCGCTGAAAAAAGAGGTGAATTTTGCCGGTCTTCGGTGTTCAGTATGCAAAGTCTGCGCGCCGCGATCCCTTTTTTTTTCACGAAGGATTTAGTTTTACCTTACAGGTCGCTAGTATTTCGCCATCAGAAAATGCGGCGCCGGCCACGAAGAACGATAGCTCCAAGTTTCGTTGGAATAACTAGCGGCTTTCAGAATAATAGCTGCTTTCAACGTTCTATACATTCGAAATGTTGCCGGAACGTTCTGCGCTGTTTGTTCTCGGGTCGTCGAAGAATTTTTAGCGTCGAGTGTTGCACTCGCTTGTAACGCGTATCTCCGTCGATAATGTAAGATAAGATAGACGACAGATAATAAAGTGGACTGTGGATTTTATGCATTTACGAGAAAAATGATTGCTTGTAATTGGAAATAGTAAAGAGATTAGGATCATTTTACGATGTCGATGTAGAACTACTGGCGAAAAGTGTTCGATCACCTTTTACGATGCAATATCTTTTTTCAAACTGGTCTAATCGACCGGTTGAATCTTTTTTTCAAGCGTCAAAGTTTACGGTAAATGACTGAAAAGTTTACGGCACGATGACTAGCATATTTGTTTTTTAATTCTATTACATAAAATGACAGCAAAATATAAAAAACCCTTGTCTTTTCTTCATTTTTGTTTTCATCTGAACCTGGAACGAAAATTTAAAAAATGCGTTCGGTACATTTGTGTAACTTGTATGCAAAAATTATATGCGAAAATTTCATATAAACTTGTTGACGCATAATCGAGCTACAGCCATCCAAAGCTGGAAAAATTACCTGTTTTTCGTTGAAATTCGTAAAATACTGCGATTCTCGCGATCTCCAATTGCTTGCAGCACGTAACAAAGTCAATCAATTCCAAAATATTAATATTAAATTTTCATTATACATATAACTTACCTAGGTCTGCGAAACGCAACCTTTAAATTTTCGTTCCAGGTTCAAATAAAAAAGTTAAGGAACAAGTGTTTCTTATCTTTCTTGTCTCGTTCCAAGTAATAAGAAAATTAACAAGAAGTATTTGGGTCATTGCACAGCGAACTAGTACCTTTGATATTTAAAAGAAATTCGAGTGATGTACAGATCGGTGAAAGGATCAAGATTTTATCACTTCCCCTCAGAAAAAAAGCCAGAAAACGTACATACCTGCATATGATCTCCGGTCGGCAGGGTCCTAACAAGCAGCCTGCAACAGAGGAAAACAAGAAGAAAAATGAGTAAACAGAGGTTCGGCGTGGATGCGAAACGCGACGATGCCCCATTAGGCCCGCGGACAATGGGGGTACATCGTCTTTAAAACCCTTAGCCTTTAACCCTTTCCTTACGGCAGACCGCTCCGCTGGAGCGACGCCACTCGACTGCAAAGGGTTAACTCTACTTGAATTCGAAATCCAAAACACATTTTCCGATCTACGATATTTCTATTTTATATAATTTATTGCGATTCGTGCTTATGAAATTGAGCCTATTGGCGAGTACAATGCAATTGTAACAGTTTTTAAAAAAATATAAACGAACTTGATGCTCTCTTACAATGATTTTGGAAAATTGTATATCAATTTCTAGTGGCGCCTCAGAGTCGCCACTCGAGAGGAAAGGGTTAACTCTTTGCAGTCGAAGCTACTTGAATTCGAAATCCAAAACACATTTTCCGATCTACGATATTTCTATTTTATATAATTTATTGCGATTCGTGCATATGAAATTGAGCCTATTGGCAAGTACGATGCAATTGTAACAGTTTTTAAAAAAATATAAACGAACTTGATGCTCTCTTACAATGATTTTGGAAAATTGTATATCAATTTCTAGTGGCGCCTCAGAGTCGCCACTCGAGAGGAAAGGGTTAACTCTTTGCAGTCGAAGCTACTTGAATTCGAAATCCAAAACACATTTTCCGATCTACGATATTTCTATTTTATATAATTTATTGCGATTCGTGCATATGAAATTGAGCCTATTGGCAAGTACGATGCAATTGTAACAGTTTTTAAAAAAATATAAACGAACTTGATGCTCTCTTACAATGATTTTGGAAAATTGTATATCAATTTCTAGTGGCGCCTCAGAGTCGCCACTCGAGTGCAGTCGAAGCTACTTGAATTCGAAATCCAAAACACATTTTCTGATCTACGATATTTCTATTTTATATAATTTATTGCGATTCGTGCATATGAAATTGAGCCTATTGGCAAGTACGATGCAATTGTAACAGTTTTTAAAAAAATATAAACGAACTTGATGCTCTCTTACAATGATTTTGGAAAATTGTATATCAATTTCTAGTGGCGCCTCAGAGTCGCCACTCGAGTGCAGTCGAAGCTACTTGAATTCGAAATCCAAAACACATTTTCTGATCTACGATATTTCTATTTTATATGATTTATTGCGATTCGTGCTTATGAAATTGAGCCTATTGGCGAGTACAATGCAATTGTAACAGTTTTTAAAAAAATATAAACGAATTTGATGCTCTTACAATTATTTTGAAAAGTAGTATACCAATTTCTAGTGACCCTTCTCAGAGTCGCCACTCGAGTGCAAAGGGTTAACAGATCGTCGACTATAGTCGGCACCCGTAACGAAAGTGTTAATTCCCGCAGCTCTTACGAACGCTTAGCCCGACGCTATCGACGCAACCGTTGCTGTTTTGCGACGAGAATGCGATAAGTATAATGTTCCCGAGGCCTTGATACGGTCCTCGGAGGAGGTCGTTAAGCAATGCCGTGACGGAGGAGCTTTAAGGTTTGTCATGTAAATCGTAATCCCGCCATCGGCGACCGAAAAAGGACGGGAGGTGGCGAGAACGCTTGCCGGCGTGTCCTCTTTCTTATTCTCTCTCTCTCTCTCTCTCTCTCTCTCTCTCTCTCTCTCTCTCTCTCTCTCTCTCTCTCTCTCTGAGCCACGGCCACCGGATGGCGCAACTCACCCCTCCCGCGGCTATTATCATCGAAAGCGGATTCGAGTACTTCGGCAACTTTCAGCGAAGAATTTATTATAATCGTATTCAAGAGCGTCTTATGGCAACGACTGCAAAGTAGCTATCCGCGGACGGGGACGCGGCGGAGGGAACTGATTGAAACTCTGAAACATTTGCTCCGCTGGGTAACTTAGCAGCCAATCGTCGCAGATAAGTCGGTTTCCCCAGTTAACGGTTCCCTTAATTAACCGTCTACCGTCTCGCGGTCCACGTTCCCGCGACAACGACGACGACGAGGAAGACGATGACGACAACTACGCCGACGGATATCGAGAACTTTCCCTCTCCGGCTCGGCCCGTCCCGGCCCGCTCTATTAATTCGCCATTATCGCGAAAGTATAGCGCAACAATCCGCGCGCGCGTAAGCGAACGGCCTCGCAGGGGCATCCGCCGGGGGGGTCGAGATTTAATAGCTTCTCTCTCTCTCTCGGCCGTTCTTCGCCACCGCTTAATTGCCGGCCGGATAGCACGTGGATTCGCCGCGATTCGTTCGCCTCAAGATAAATACCAGGTTATGTAATTAAGATCGGAACGATGAGCGTGTTGTTTCAGGCCGCGCCGGTCCGCAACCATCGACTTCCGGCGGCCGGGTTCCCGGGGTCTCTGATAGGCTGTCGGGGCATCGAGGATATCGGGACCATAGCCGCCTTCCTCCGGATCTTTGCTAATGAAAGAACCTTTCGATTGCCGAAGGAATATTTCGTGCTGTACGAGCCGCCGCTCGGGTAAATTGGATCGCCTAATTTGCTCGGTTTGTTCGGCGTTCGATGGAAAAACGTGTGCCCCTAAGTACACCCAATTTTGTTTTTACGCGGTGGATACGTTTCAGAAAAAATAATGTGAAAAAAGAGACCGTGTATGTAGATAGCAAAATAGGAAACAATGAGAAAATATGGCTACATTTAAACATTGAAATCGGATAACTTTTTTCACCGTGCTAAAAATCGTGTAAAAGGGAAATTGAATTTTTTGAACTTTTTTTTTAGACTGTGTTGAATTAAAATCGTGTAGAAACAGAATTTGGTGTATTATTGTTGTTAATTTATTTAAGAGCGAGGTACCCTTTGGTTCGCATGAATGGATCGACGAATACGCACGAGTAGTATTATTACAAAAAGGTGATCAAATTAAGACGATACGGTGAAGGGGATCGCATACTCGAAGAGACATCGCGAGCAGAAAAAATCGACTGTTTTGGAATGACAAGCAGTTGCAGTTATAAGAGATTTATAGTTGTAGTTATAAGAGAACGATTTACACAGTCTTCTTGTCCATGTTACGTCTGATACGATTTAGGATTTGCCTTCGAATCGTGTCCTGTGGCCTCCGAATTGCCTTTGAATCGTGTCCTGTGGTCTTCGAATTCCCTTCGAATCGTGTCGCGTTGGCCTCCGAATTGTCTTCAAATCGAATCATATGGACTCTGAATTGCTTTATAATCGTGCCACGTGGCCTCCGAATTGCCTTTGAATCGTCGCATGTGGCCTCCGAATTGTCTACGAATCGTCGCATGCAACCATCGAATTTCCTTTGAATCGTGGCATGTGGCCTTTGAATTGCCTCTGAATTGCCTTTAAATCGTGTCCTGTGGCCTTCAAATTCCCTTCGAATCGTGTCACGTGGCCTCCGAATTGCCTTCGAATCGTGTCCTGTGGCCTTCGAATTCCCTTCGAAACGTCACATGCGACCACCGAATTTCCTTTGAATCGTGGCATGTGGCCTTTGAATTGCCTCTGAATTGCCTTTAAATCGTGTCCTGTAGCCTTCGAATTCCCTTCGAATCGTGTCACGTGGCCTCCAAATTGCCTTCGAATCGTGGCACGTGGCCTCCGAATTGCCTTCGAATCGTGTCGCGTGGTCTCCGAATTGCCTTCGAATCGTGACAAAAAATTAGAAACAAAAAAGTTAAGTCATCGTTGCCTTTTTTTGCCGACTGCTCCGTGCTTCTACAAAAACGAGCCAGCCGCGAGGACCGAAGAATCGCGACTTAGTATTCTCAGATCTGCCGATTTCAATTCCGACCCCCGAACATTTCTGAGAGAAGTTACTGCATTTCGTTTAAATAGTCTCAGGATCTCAGGGCAAGATATAACTCCGCCGTCAACATTTTTTTCTTTACACAGTGCACCTTCGTTCCCGAAAGATTTTTCGTACAATAGCAGCCAAAGAAGACATTTAGAAAAGACACGTTGCACTTTGTTCGGGGTATCGAGCTCGAGTTATCGGCGCTTTTATTTCAGCGACCCTTGTTAACGGTTGGACCAGCGGTTCAAAGAAATCCCTCTCGAAGGAGAAGGTTGTAGGTGAAAGAATTGTAACGGCTCCAGTGGATCACTCGGCGAGAGTGTTTATTTTCATCCCTTTCTTGTTTAAGAGGAAACATTGAACCCCCACTTGAGACGTGTTCATTGAACACGGGCGGCCGAAATCAATTCGTCTAAACCGCCTGTTCCATTTCAGTTGTAACAGCCTTGGTCCATGCTTTCTACTTGAACTTTTCAAAGACTTGGTATCATAGTGAAATCGTCCGGGTTAAAACTCCGTTTTTCTGATGCGATATTCAAATAAATCCTATTGAAATTTTGCGATTGCAGTTCACCAGTTCCAGATTTATTAACAGCTAAACCTGTCGTGCTTTGCCTGGACAAGGTAATTTATTCAATCATTTCTCGAAGAAGAGACTTCATGAATTCAAGTATTTAAAAATAACAAATTGTCGTACTTCGACAAGTCTGACTCGTGATCGAGACAGTCTTTTTATCTCCAGCAATTTTAATATTTCTTGATGTTATTTCGCATTATATGACGTGTACAAAAAGTAGTCGAGAAGTTACAACGTATCGGACAGACAATTCGATGCTTTTTCGATTCGAGTGGACTGTGTTATAAATCTCAATCGTGGGTTGCAAAGTACAGCAATGTCTCCCTAATCGACGCTCAGGTTGTGCACAAAAATGGACAATTTGGGAAGAGGAGATACGATTATATAAATATTATTACGCACGTTTCTATAGTTACCGATTGCGAGCAACTATAAAGACAGGTCGCTCGAATAATCGTATCTTCTCTTAGTACAGAAAGTTGTCTCCTATTATCCCCCAGTTTGTAAACAAAAATGGACAATTTGGGAAAAGGAGAAGCCTTACAACTCGTTTTTATAGTGGTTGACAATCGATAACTCCTTTTCCAAAATTGTCTTTTTTTGT